TATAAATACAATACAATGGATGGCAGTGTCATTCATCAACCCTGATGATGAAGGCAGAGACAGTCTCCAATATCTTGGTAATTAACTCATTCTTGCCTGGCTGATCACCCACAGAAATTTAACTGGAGAATGTGGTTTGTAACTTCAAGATTTCCATTTGGTTGGTAACTTTTGTTACTCAGTCGGGGGGGGGCATACAATTTTGAACCACTCAACCACATACAACTTCCGTAATATGCAGTTATTGTGCACTCTGCATAAATAATTCTTAAATAGGGAGTCACCTTATCTCAAACACCAAACAATGTATCACTGAAAATGGCAATTTTTAAGTAAATTTTGGTTCTCTTACACATTAATGGGGAAAAAAGGATCGGATAATGCAGTAATATAATTGCACAAGCAATACAGTTACAAGTTAGAAATTGTGGTAAAGCAAAACTGAGAAAGAAGCATGTGTTGCATGTAATGACAAGGCAAATTTAACAGAATCAGAAAAATGTGCCGTAGCTGCACACCGTACTTACTTTTCTGACATTATGTTGCTGTCCTGGACAAAACTCGTGAAACAAGTGGCTGTCAATCCTTTCTCTTCAGATATCTCCAACAGGCAGCAGAAATGCCGAACAGGCTGATTACTGGCAGATTATGTAATAGATTCGCCAACTAGGCCACCACAATCAAGGACACACCACTCCATCCGTCTTACAACACTTCTTACACTCGTACAGTCGGGCAATAGCCTTATCGTGCAATCGCAATCAGTCGCCATGTTAAACGCATATCTCTCGTCATCCGTTATTGTAACTGTAACATAATCATCCTACGCCATTTTGCACGATATCTAGAGGAGCAAACATGTTACATATTCCCCCACTTTGAAATGTTTCCCATGCATTATTATGAAGACCTGCACCCATCTTTACGTACGGTGTCCCTGGAATCATAACATTCTATGCTTATAATAAGATATGAAACATCTTATATATACATGACATAAATTATAAAGTCATGAACCTACACAAACATTCTGACATAAGAGGTTAGCAGTCCTGTTACTCTATAAAGGTGGGAAATATGAACGAGTCCACTGTCACAAACTTACCAGATTCTTTGTGTGGGTCAGTTTCTAACATCTATATCTATACTGTCATTAACTCTCCTTTTGCTACCAATGTGTGAACTCACAGTCTTGCTTTCTGCTTACCACTCTTCTTTTCTTTCACATACCGACCAGAAGAAAACAGAAGACTGTTTGTGTTGCCAACTCACTGACACCATGCCTCTTACAGACTGACTAATTGAACAACTGAAACATAGCTTAATTTATAATTGACTAGCATAAGACTACCCTAAAAGACAGACCAAAATGCTGACTAATCATGAAACAAAAAAAATTTCTTCTACTGATATTAGATTAGTTAGACAGAATAGTCAATTTTAATTTTAAGGTAGCATCCCAGGAGTCAGGATAGGTATGAAATATCTCAATCATCATTGGATTTAAACTAGGCACTTATTAAATGCAAGTAGGATACAACCCACCTCTGTCCTTCCTCTTACTTAATGTGTCATGGGGATGTGGAGACATGGATACACCTTTTGATGTGTAGTTATCAAGTTGACATAACTGGAACAACATATCAGTGCCTTAAAAAGCAACTCAACAAACAACCACACATCATGGCTTTAGAAAGATACACACTGTGACGCTTTTTGATACACATGTTCAGATTTCACAAATAAATTTTTTGTACATATTTATCTTTCCTCATTTTTAAGAAAATACATTTATTTATACAGCAGCTGTCACTAGGCAACCCACACAGTGTAAACCCACTGGGTGAGGCGTCAAAAAGTCTCCACAGCTTCCAGCTCAGTAACAGGAGAGGTTACAATGGGAAAGAGAAGGGATGTTCTGACACTAACCTGTAGTCAGACAAAATTCCTCTTCAACTGTACAATATCCAGTCTCCCCTCTGTAATGAGATCTTCAGTTCAGTGCTGTGTGTCAATTTGAACTTAATAACTCTTTTTTTTATTGTCAACATTTGTGCACAATGCCATCAAATGTCTGCAAAATGTTTTAATAAATTACATATAAAAGAAAAATGAATCCACAGAATATCAGCAAACAGAACCACCATTATCCAACGTCACAGAACTCAAAACAGGAGAATATCTGACCCCAAGAACCATGCAGTGTATGGGAAATGGTAGACATTATATAATGATTCATTTGAAGATCTATATTTCTCTTGCCCAGACTAATTAAGGCAGTCAAACCAAGGCTAAAATGTTAATTAACTACAATAAAGGAAATAAATATACATGGGAAATTTGAGGAGATTGAGCCCTCTTTGAGAATGGCCATGTGGAAGACTAAGAAGAGGGACTGGAAAATAACATTAAATCTGAGGATGTGAATTGGGTTGAACTGGTTCAGAATTGTGTCCAAACACAGGATCTGGTATTGGGGATGCTACAACATTGTGCCATACTACCAGGAAATCAGGTATTAAAACACAAAAAAGTTTAGTTGTGTTGCTTGTGTTCTGAATGTGTCAGATCATTACTGAGACACCAGGTAAAGAGTTAACACAAACCAAACCAATTGAAATGATATGCTTACTTGCATATTTACAGGTAGAAACAGTTATGTATCATGTTGTAGTCCTGTTAAGTGATTCAGTGACCAGTTACACTAAGTATGTACCTGTATCGCCTACAAGCTAGGGAGAGGAGGGGCAGATGATGGAATATTCTGGAACTCGGAGCTCTTGGTATGAAGGGGAGTATTTTTTGTTCAGCATAAAAATTTTCTTCTTGTCATTTGAGAAGGAAAATTAATGCATTTATTATTTTAATGATGCTCTATCAAATTCTAAGATCATTATTCTTTTATGAATGGAATACTCTGTTAGATTTTTATATACAAGAGAAGTCTTTAAAATTTAAATATTTGTGAAGATAATAGCAGTTAAGTTTCTGATTTGTTTGAAGTTCTTAAATGTAACAATAGTTCAGATATACAAAAATAAGTTGGTAGAGCGCATTCCTATTTAAAAATAGAGTACAAAAAATAGAGAATTGAGAGCATATGGGATGCCTTCCATTTCACTGTACATCAGTCTACCAGTTATGGGAATCAGCAAGTCCTTTACCAGAGAGTGATACAAATCACGACTTAGTTCTACTGGATATGGTCAGGTCTTGGGAGCAAAATGTAAACAGAAACTTCGGTCACCAGTTCCCTCACCAGATTCAAATTTCCCCAGCGCCTAACTGATTACTGGCTACTGTACATATCAATCCAAACGATTAAATCACTGGTATTGACATGTTGCTCATCTCTGTTTAAACTAACCCTTTCACTGGCATAATGGACATTTAAATCCACCACTGGCTAGCATATACAAATATTTTTAGCAGTATAAATTAAATACAGCTGAAGCAGTCAAAAGAGTTTTAAATTTCATACACATACTTCACACTG